TAACTCAATTATTTCCGTTTTATCATAATGGTGTTGTATGATCATTAGCATTTCTGCCAGTATTTGTTATGGTGTTTTCAGATGTGTAATGTTTAAAGTGTGAGGCGAAGTTTCATGAACTTACATTCAAGTGCATGATTTTTCTATTCAAAATGTGCAGAAAACTTCTTGAATGTATTTAGTGTTTATCTTTATATAAAATAAGGGAATTTTCACCAAAAAATTATAAAGGTAATCAAGTGATAATGAAGAACTTGCTCAGTTGACGTTCTGAGTTTGATGTACGTACCATTTTTATAATACGTTTTTTTGTTTCTTGTGGGACAGTTTCAGATTAATTTACCAATATAAATGCCAATATAAAGGTGAGACACCTCGGGTGAATAGGGTAAAAATATTAAAGCAGCACTATGTAACTTTTGGCGCTCTAGCGGTTAATAAACAGAACTGCACACATCCCGCGGAAGAACATTCCAACCGGAGCTACTTCTCTAAGTTTATGTCTATGGCGATTCACGCAGGTATGTGTTACTCCGCAGCGGCGACGACCCGACCAGGCTACAATAGTCCAAATATAAGTACTTATTATAAGTGTACCGGAGTGATTCGGAATAAGACAAAAACGCGGTTTGGAAGATGAATTCAGTTGCCACTGATGATTCAAACGCGAGTTTGGGCAGTAGAGTAGCACTTCTGTTTGTCATTTCTCCAATCACAAATGCGGACAGAGTTTTATGTTTATGCGGCGTGATGCAATGCAACGCGTAAGAAGACAGTATAAGTCATTATAATCAGTAATTATGTCCCCACTGGATGCAACAAATGCTAATAGATATCACCATACTTCCACAGTTGAATAACTACATTAACAATTGCAAACATTTGTGTATTATAAGTTGTGTTTTTTTAATGTTATGTTTAAATATGCAAACGGACCATTATGTAATTAAATATTTGCATACATTTGTTTGGAGCAAAAATCTGAACATTGGATAAAGACAGGATCAGAATTCTTGTTTCTTTTTGTTGACATGTTAGAGTCAAATTTTTTTACAGAGGGCATTTTGGACACACACACACACACACACACACACACACACACACACGTCTGCACACATACACACACACACACACACACATATTCAAGTTAAAGTTACAGTTATATAATGAATATGGGCTTAAAGTGCACAATCTGAGCTTTAATTTGAGGGTATTCTCATCAAAATGGGAAGAAAGGTTAAGGAACTACAGCTCTTTAATATGTACCTCCCCCCTTTTTCAAGGGAGCATAAGTAATTGGACAGTTGACTTAAAAGCTGTATCATGGACAGATGTGGTCTATTCAATTAAGCAGGTTAAAGGTCAGGAGTTGATTCTAAGTATGCCATTGGAATTTGGAAGATGTTGCTGTGAACCCACATCATGCGGTCAAAGGATCTCTCCATACAAGTGAAACAGACAACTGTTAGGCTTCAAAAACAAAACAAATCCAGAGATAGCAGGAACATTAGGAGTGGCCAAATCAACAGTTTGGTACATTCTGAGAAAAAAAAAAAGAAAGCACTGGTGTGGTCACATTCATTGGTTAAAACGGAACTTTGTGAGATCGTGATGAGTGACAGTTTTTAATGCATTTAAAGGGAGCACTCTTTGCATGCTGTATACAGCTTAAATAATTAAAGGTGGTGGCAGCGGCTTAAGTATAGAATTATTACAATATATTCAGAATTCAAATAAAACTTGTGTTTTTCATGCTTGACAAGCGGCCACGTACGACAAAGATAGCTAACTACTACACTATATAGAAAAAGATAATAATTTCAGAAGCACAGAGTGATATGATTCTGCAACGGGGCCTGGTCCAAATGCAGGATTTAGGTAAGGAAACAGTTATTAATTATTTGTATTGGCTGCCATGCCAAACCATGCACACCTGCTTGCTTTTCTGTTTAATTTAACAGTGTTTTTGTGAACGTATATGCTTTAATAACAAATAGCCTAACTGTAACACTTTACAATAAGGTTCCATTAGTTAATGTTAGTTAATGTATTAAAGTGTAAGTTAATTATTGTAAAGTGTTACCCAAATAATGTATTTCGAGCGTTCACTTGAAAATAAAAAAAAACACTTAAAAGTGTATTTTGGATGTTTTCTTCCCCCACCCAAAAAATAAATAAAAATAAAAATAAATTATGGAAAGCCAAAAAGACCAAAATCTCAAAATTGACTGATGAATAAAAAACCTATGATGCCTATGTTTTCTTTTTTTTTTTGTCTCGCCTTAAAGATTTATTATTATTATTATTATATAGCCTACAGATGTAAATAAGTATAAAACTGTATTATGTAAGAAGTTGGTTAAACATTTTATTGTGCAAATCTATGCACATATTCCCACTGGAGTCGTAGATTGAGTGTTTATGAAACCCTGTTCTGTTTCTTGTTTTTCAGCTTTTGCATTACATTATATCTTCTAGTGCATCTGAGGGATTTGACTAAATCAAGATGCTGCTGATCATCGAAGCTCTTCTTCTCATTTCAGCTGCTCTAGAACAGGTAAGCTTGTATTCTAGTATGAATATTACAGATATGAAAACTGATAATGTGATGATTCCCACAGGGTCACAGAGCTGCTGCTGAAGGACTGATCTATCCATTCAACATGGCACTGAATTCAGTTGATGACCAGTATGATGGATGTACAGAAGAAATGGCTCACCTGGTGATGACAGAATACCTAGAGAAGGAACTCAATAACTCAGCTGAATTTAAAATGGCTTGGCAAGGAGCTGAAAACAATACGTCGGCACCAGAAGATGACTTGACAGAGAATCATTTAATCGCTATTTACGTGTACACTGATAAAGAAGTACATCGTGAGTTCAATAACGTTGTTCGCAGAGAGAAAGAAAAGTACAAAAACATGACATACCCATGGTATTCACTTCACTTTTTGTTAACTGAGGCGATACAGCTTCTGAAGAAAACACAACAAGGTTGTAAGTCGACTTATCGTGGTACAGATGTTGAATTTGATAGGGATGTTCTGAACGCAGAGGTTCGCTTCGGCTCGTTTACATCCTCGTCTCTTAATCGTACAGTAGCAGAAGGTTTCGGAAATGTATTTTGTTTTGAAATCTACACTTGTGAAGGTGCTGAGGTGGCAAATTATTCGAAGTTTCCTGATGAGGACGAGGTGCTGATTCCTCCGTACGAGACGTTTAAAGTCTCTGCTGTCAGGAACAGAACAGATCAGAATGATCTCTGGTGCGAAACTGTGTTCACGTTGGAAAGCTCTGGGAAAATCAGTGACCTGAACTGTAAGTTGTTTAACAGTGGAAACCATGTTGCTGGTTTTAGTGTTTTACTCATTTTAACATCATTTTGCAAAATGTTTACCTGCTAACTTGTAGATACTGTATGTTTCCTGTTGTTGAACTTTGAATTGCTTGTCAGATTTAACTCGGGGACAGTTTGCCCTGCTGAAAAAAAAAACAATAGACACCATCACAGAATTTGTAATGGTTTTAATGGTTATAATGGGAATTGTATTGGTTTTAATGGAAACTGCTATTGGACTCTGCTGGTAATTGGTCGCCTTCTGTTGGTGGCTTAATTGTTAAAACCACTAAATCCTAATGAAATATATGTCCCAAAAGACACTACAGAAAATCACTTTTAATGGTTTTAATGGTTAAAAGTTGATGGTCTGTATTGTTTGTAATGGTATTTGTAGTGGAAACCATTAGAATTTCTGTGATGGTTTCTATTGTTTTTTTTCCCAGCAGGATGATACCGTAGTGAGGAGAGAAAAGAAGCTTTTCAAAACTTGAATTGAACCGTTTTGGTTTTCTGAATTTGAGTTAAATACACCTGAGTACTCTTCTTTTTTCATATAGATTTTACACCTCTGATCTTGTTTCATGTACACATTGAATATATTTTCTATTCATCCAGAAAGAAGGGAAGTGAATTGTCACATCATGTGAGAGCCGCATTATGTGATAGATTAAAATTTGATTGTATAATTTACACAACACAACCTAAAATACTGTGACAATAAATGTCATTAATAAATTTAGTAGGCTAGTTAAAAACAAACTCATTTAGGCACTTGACAATAAACACAAAACATAATAAAGTCATGGGCATGGCTCTTATAGAAGGCAAATAGACAGACAGGTAAGAATAAATAAATAAGTTCTGAACATTCATATAGTAAAAAAACTAAGAAAAAAAGAAAATAAATTCTTCAGAGTCTGAGGGCCAGTTTCTGTACATACAGATATTATAGAACCTTGATTACGAAAAGCTATTTTCCACCATCTTTGAACAGAAAAAACATAAAGTTATCATGCAGTCATACAGAGTAAATGGTCACAATGCTGTGAACCTGAGAAGAACTGTTTTTATTAGTTGTACTTGTATATTAGTTCCAATTAAAATTCCAATGTTCCTGACAGGTCTTTATTAATAAATACTTAAAGCATTAACTTAAGCACAAAAGTTGATAAGGTACCATACATACAGTACATAACAAAAATATTTTGTGACCATTTTTAAAACCACAATTCAACACAGTTTTAGACTTTATGGTACTTTATGGGCTTTATTTCACAGCTTTACTTTTTGGTATTTTATGGACTTTATTAAACATCAAAATGACTAAAACTGAAAAAGTAAAATGTTAAGAAATGAAACCAAATTCAAAATATTATTAAAACCACTAAAATGATCTCAGTGATACTAAAAATAACTTTGGTTCGCAGAGGTGCAAATGAACAACAGTCAAGACTGTATATGTGCTTCCCTCTGGTGCAGTTAAAAAATTTTTTATTTTTTTTTGCAAAAAATGTATTCAAACTTCAGATTTCAAATACATATGTATTCCAATCTAGCAATAGACAGATCAACCTAACCGTAGTCTGTTTAACACAAAGCTAATCCTATTACCATCTGTAAGTACCAAGCACGTATTTTGTCTCTGTCCAGATTGTCCTGCTGTCCCAGACACTTCGGGTGTCACAACAAATACGGGCCGAACATACAAGCATGATCACGTATTGGTTGTAAAAAAAATATGCACTTTCCTTTCTTCGATGGAACTGTTCAAGATGTCTTAGTGGGAATCCTCATTGTGAAGATGTTTGGAAGTGGTACTAAGAAGTGGTTTATCAAGAAGAATAAAAGACAGAGCACTAAAGGAAGGAAACCTGTCAACAGGAAGAGAAAGAAATGGGTGGCTAAGGTCCTGAAGCAGCACAGGGAGATGATCCTGAAGGAACTGGATGTCAACAAGGTGCTGCCGTACCTGGTGTATGACAAAGTGTTTTCTCTCGGGGAATACAAAGAGATACTGGGTCAAGACTCCAGCAAGAAGCAAGCCGAGCTCTTCCTGGATCAGCTGTCGCCGAAGGGCCCGTGTGCGTTCAACGCCTTCTGCTCCGTGCTGGAGGACGTGTGTCCTCACCTCCTCACCTGCTTCCTGTTGGATTGTGAAGGTAAATCAGACTTTCAGAAACTAGTCAGCTGTCTATTTAGATCAAAGGTGAGCAAACCTCATGAAAACAGGTCCCATTTCATTCCAAACGAAACTAACTAACCAACTAACTAACTAAATGAATAAAAAGGCTACATAAGGAAAATGTCATATTTTTAAGCACTCCTTGCATTTTTATATTTTTCCATCTTTCATTATTCTCAATGGTGAGTCTCATTTGATATGAAAATATATTTTTGTTGTTGTTTTGCATTACAGTAATGAGAGTGAGATTTTTTGCAATACAGTAATGACAAATTGGAGAAGACGGTAAACTAAATAATCATGTTATTTTGCAAAAAATCTTAATCCATACATACCTTTCACGATTTTTTTCACATTACAGTAATGAGAATATTGAGAGAAATGTGCTTAACAGAGATGAGAAAATGTCATAAAATGATTATTATTGGCAAAAAAAAGCAATAAATAATACTTCTAAATATAGTCTAGTTTTATTATCAGTGAGATAAATTATATATATATATATATATATATAATTTATTATATAATTTATTTATTTATATAATATATATATATATAAATTATATGTATTTATATAAAATATATAGAGAGAAAGAGAGCGAGAGAGAGAAAGAGAAAGAGAGAGACATAGAGGGAGAACATGATTTGTAAGATCAATAAATCAATAAATAATACTCCAAAATATATGTTTCATTTTCATTGAAATAAATAAATAAACTAATATTTCTCATTATTTTCTTCAGATTTTTGACCTAAAAATGAATTGTGACATTCTCCCATGGGAGTGAGGATAAGCTATTCCATATCAATGGGCAACATGATTAGGAGAATAACTGAAATACTATTATTATTATTATTATTATTACAGTTATTGTTACTTTTTTTCAAATAAAAATAGGAACATAAATGAGGTTGTCGTAGGATCCTGAATAAATGCAAAGCCTCATACCTTCACAAACACCTTTGCAAATCGCTAAAGTTTGTTATCTTAATCTAATCTTAAAGAGTAGTTAAAGCTCCAGCTGAATAGCATGGAAGTACAGACGCCAACCAGGTCTGTATGGCCCACAAACTCAGTTTAAGCCAGCGTGTCCCACTAAGAGCTGGCAGAAAATAGCCCGCTTAAACCCGCCCCTCTGAGGAAATTACCGGATAGCCTGGGTGACATGCAGTGATGGCCATAACTCAGCATACGGCCTCAAACTAAACTGTCTAGGTTAAGCTTGTCGGCTAATTTAGCTTAATCTTGCAGTTTGATGTAGACAGATTAATGGGTGGGGGGAGTGAATGTGCAGCGCTCTCTTCCACCTTCAATACCACGACTGAGGTGCCCTTGAGCAAGGCACCGAACCCCCAACTGCTCCCCGGGCGCCGCAGCATAAATGGCTGCCTACTACTCCGGGTGTGTGTTCATGGTGTGTGTGTGTGTGTGTGCACTTTGGATGGGTTAAATGCAGAGCACTAATTCCGAGTATGGGTCACCATACTTGGCCACATGTCACGTCACTTTCACTTTTTTCACTTTAATGTGAGTATGATAAACAGGCCAAATTATCAGGATAGCTGAGCTATTACTCAAGCTATAGGGGGCTAATGATTTATTCATGTAATTAATCAACCGTCTTCCCCCTTATAGAAGACCTTGGAATGAACTTTCTTAGCAATTTAACTCTCAGTCTTGTGTTACGGACGCTTCATGATTTTAGATCAACAGTAGCAGTTTGATTTGGCACCTAAAGAGGGCGCTCGATATGTTTGGTATAAACACCAGTAAATTTACATTTCGTTCTTGGATAGACATTATGCAAAATTTAAAACGTACCTCTCTTATTTTATTATAAATGCAACAATTTTCAGGGAGCAAACATGCTTTCTTCCAATGAATGCTATCAAAAAAGTCGGTCTAGAAAGTAAATTTAAACAGCCTCAGAATTAAGAAACAATTGTTTTTTTCATTCACCTAAACACAACACACAGTATGGGAATCTACGTCATGCCGCGTTGCATTCTGTGTAATGGTCGCCATGTTTTAGGACACGCTCAGGCGCACACAGTGTAAACAAACACAAATCACCGCAGAAGAAAACCGACCGTTTCGTATGAATAATTTTTGGAAAACAGCTTATATAAGTTTAGAATAAAACTGACTAATATGTAAATCTCTTTAAGTTAAAAAATTGCTCAGTCGTGTGTTTTATTATAGTAAACGTGTACTAACCATGTTTCCAAACTTGTATCCTTAGCTATACAGGTATTGATACCATTTGTATAACCACAGGTTTACTAGAAATACCATGATTAAACTATGGTTAGTGTAGCAAAACCACGGATCATTTGTGGTTACTATAGTTTAACTATAGTAACCATGTCCTTTTGGTTTTATTTGTTGCAAAACCATGGTTAATTTCCGCAAGGGAAGAATAAATACAATATAGCTGCTCAATGTGAAAGCATTAACCCTAAAAAGGGCAAACCCATAAAGAGACATCAGAAAATTAATTGAATGCTATTTCCATCTTATTGGGACTCCAATAATTCAATTTCATGATTTTTTTTCAAAACTTGACTCTTAAATTTGATTTTAATGTTTGTATCCCCCAGGATACGTTGCTCCTTTGGGGGTATAAATTCACTGGAAACAGAACACTTGTTTATCAATGCTTGTTACAGCATGGTTGTAATTCCTGAATGTTTTGAGACAGATTACAAAAAATATAAGCGTTTAATTTATAAAATTTCAACGTAAACCTAATAAGCTAATGCTGAACAACAGCTTTTTAAACATGTTAGTCCCCTCCAACGTGTGTAAATATGTGAACTAGATCAACTTTTAGGGCAAACCCATAAAGAGACATCAGAAAATTAATTGAATGCTATTTCCATCTTATTGGGACTCCAATAATTCAATTTCATGATTTTTTTTCAAAACTTGACTCTTAAATTTGATTTTAATATTTGTATCCCCCAGGATACGTTGCTCCTTTGGGGGTATAAATTCACTGGAAACAGAACACTTGTTTATCAATGCTTGTTACAGCATGGTTGTAATTCCTGAATGTTTTGGAGTACAGACCAAACGTTGGTCTCTTTTTAAAGAAGACACATAGCAGATTATTGCTGCTTATTTCATTTTAAAAAAAGAAAGTATAAAAAAGTTATAAAAGTTTTAAGTTTACAGTAAAGATAATGTAGTATACTAATTGTTTTTATTTTATATAAAATAAATATTTTATAAAATATGTTGCACTCTAAAATTGCTAGTTTAAATGCTGCCCGTGAGCTAAACAAAGAATGGAGAAACAAAAGTCACCTCATCTAAATATTCACAACAAACACCCTTTCAAGATGAAACCAAGAAATGAGACCTACACTTTCACTGCTTCTCCCCACAGCTTCTCAAATGTTTGTATCCTCCAGGATACGTCGCCCCTTTTAGGGTTAAGTTTATAGGGCTAATAAAATAACTAACTAAAAAGCTGCTTTGAAACAATGTGTATTGTGGATGCTGAACAAATAAATAGCTTGACTTTGAATGAAGTTATTATTAGTGATTCCAAACAAGGACGCAGATGAGCACAACCAAATAAATGAATGGACTTAATCCGTACAAGTGGCCGGGTACCAACGAGCTGCCGCAGATAATATTTCCAGATGTGATTTTCTACTTTATTTGTGTTGTAAGCACTTGCAGTTCAATGCAAATCAGTGTATCTATAATATAACAAATCAGAGATCAATTATAAAGCCCCATTTTATTTAAACTCTGAGTTGCGAATGTAGACATCTTCTATATTATTTTATGTTTAAATTATTTGACTTAAGATCGTGTTTGAATGATTTACGCTTATATAATCAATTACCGTAGCCCTTCAGCACGTTTTTTTTACGCAGGGTTATAGTAATTGATGATACAGTAAGCCTTAACAATTCCAACGCAATCCTAAATTGAATAATATAAACATAAAATAATATAAAACGTCTACATTCACTACCACCCAGTCTCTACTGTAGTGTCCTAAATTCCCAGAATGCATTGCGCTGTGACAACAACACATTCCCATTCTCTATAAAGACGCTTGTTAGCATTTAATAATAACTATCATTAGCGAACTATATTATGCATTACTAGTTCTTTAGTAAATAAACGTTCAAAAGTGTAATTGTTGCCTATGCTAAATGTAAACAACGAACTAGTGAGATTTTTATACTTTCTATTGTGCGTGTGTTTGCTTATGAGTGTGCTAAATACAATGTTTCTTCTTCAAAAGATTGGATTATCCTTTGATTTGGCAAATGTTTAGCACTAAATTGTATTTTTAATGTATTTTTGAGTAAACTATTTTGTTTGATAGGAGCCTTATGATTCTTTTCAGAGTGCCAAATGAATCATCATTACATTACTATTCAGATACTGGAGTCAAAGTAAACTTTTCAAAGGTCTGAAAGATTTTTGTCTCCTAAAAGTAGCTGTTTCTCTGTGACGTTTCTCCCTCACAGATGGCTCAGCTGGAGGAAACAAGAAGCAAGGACAAACTAAACCAGCGCACAGTCAAGAGAACGCGCTGTCCAAGGGACAAGACGCGGTTTGTTTTCTACCTATGTACACAGACCCACTTTTTGACACGAGGTAAGATTTCTCATTGCTTGTGCTGTAATTGCCGCAATCTGTCCCCCCCAGCTTCCTCTGTGTCGTTTTGCATAATGAATGAGAGCCTGAAAGGGCCTAGTACTCTAGTTCTATATAGAGCACGATGTCAGGCTTTAAACTGCTGATTTAATGTAAGTCACTCACTTCTCTTTTTCGCATTTTGCTTTAAGTTGCTGTCACATTTACGTTTCGGGAGCGAAATCCCGCCATTTCATGGAATCTCATAGCTAACATGTGTTCTCAGAACTTTGACTAACGTTCTCTCAAAGTTATGAAAATTCTTCCAGTAACGTTTTTTTCCCCCCGAAAAACTTCAGTTCAACATTCCCTTAATGCTTTTAAATGTCAAACTATGTTGTTTCAGAGTGTACAGAGAGCATTTCAAATAAGTGTTTGCAAAGTGGAATGTTCTCTTAACATTAGCATATAACCATGGCAAAATGTTTATGAAACGTTTAAAAAAAACGGTTTGAAATAACGTTTTCGTAACATAATGAGAATGTTAGTAAAACATTCATATGGGCTGTTCACACAGAATGTGTTTTCCATTCCACTGCGCTACTTTTTCATTGTTTTTCTATGTAAACACAAGCTAGATTGGCGTGTTTGACCATCGCGCTCACATCTCGCGTATTTGGCAGCATCTCATGCATGAAGCAGCATTGTAAAATTGTGGCGCTCAAGTTAAAAGCTTTTTTTTTTTTTAAACGCATCTCGAGAACTTGCATTTTTTCCTCATTCCACTGCATGCATTTGGCCTTTTTCAAAGCAAAAACGTGTTTTATGTGAATGGCTTCTTAGAACATATTTTGTTAGCTTGGTAGGAATCTACGCGATCTGCAATTTTGTGTGAGGGGTTTCGCTATTGGTTCAAGTTGGTCGCTCAAGTTCGCCGTTAGCAAATAGCTGTTTTGTGAGCTGTGAGCTTGCTACACTATTGACAATAGACTTTTTGCCTGCAAAATTTCACAAATTTCGCTAATGTGACCACGTTTTACTGGCCACAGTTTGTCAATAGTAGGTGTTGGAAACAACAAGAACAGGCAAAGTGGGAGTTTTTGCTTGGCATCAACACATTTACTTTTGATTTACTGATGGTCTTTTTATTACATATTATTATAATATATGTTTTATTATTATGTTATATTATTTTTTATTATTATTGCATATTCCAAAATATATATTTCAATTATATATTTCATGTTGTATAACAAATATAATTAAAATATACAATTAGAATTTGTAAAATAAAAATATTTTTAATTATACACACACACACACGTATATAATGATGTTGAATTAAAATCTATTTTATTTTATTATTATGCTATTTTAATTGTAAAATAATTTTGACCTGTGATTGTAGAATCTTTCTAATTTGTAAAATTATATAATTTATAATTATATAATATATAATTCTATAATTACAATATGTTAATGAACTGTATATAATATTTAATATTAATATTACATATGCAAATTATGTTTAAAATGAGCTGTGTTTTAATAAGAATAAATATATTTAATGAAATTTATGAGATAAATATTCATTTTGTTGAAAAATGTAAATATATTTAAAATGAATCATCTGTGTATATTTCATTTTGTTGTTTATATAGTATATTTTAATTCTAAATACATTTTGGACTTTCATTGTAGATTCTTTTTGAATTGTAAAATTTGATAATATACAAATATATAAAACATATTTAAATGATCTGTATATAACTGTATTTAATATTTAATCCAAATGATATATATTTATGAGCTAAATGTATAAATATGTTCATTTTATATAAATAAATGTAAATATATTTAAAATAAATTTAATTATATTAAATTACAGCTATGTATTTTCTTCATTTTATGATTTCCATATAATAATTTATTTACTGATTGATTTTGGACTTGTAATATATAAAAATATCATCAGAATATGTAAATATAATACAATATTGAATATATTTTAATTATGAAATAATTATAAAAAATAAATTACTTCATAATATTGCTTGCAACATTTTTTTTTTATTGCAAACAAAATGCTAAATTTGTGAAATTCTTTCAATTTCAGTTCACTTCCTCTCATTTCAATTTCCCATTTAACTAGATTTTAAATGTGAATGATTTTAAAACCAGATTTTCCCCAACCCTAGTGTTGCATATGGAGTCCTGGTTTGCGCACAGGTATTTATTGCCCTGAAAAATCAGGCTAGATCCAATCTGGGCTTGAAATAGAGGATGTGGGCTTGCAGTGGGGCAGGACAGACATCGCAAAGATGAATCTCTGTGAGGTGAAGGCACACTCAGGCGTATTGTTCGCTAAAGTAGGCCTCCTCTATGTCTGACTGACAGCAAAGTCATCATGGAGAAGACAGCACCACTGGTTTGACCCAGAGCTGGAACACACATCAAACGCACAGTCACTGACGTGGCAATATGACAAAATCATTTCGGGTCACACAAGTTACAGACAGACACACAAAGGAGCCGGAGAGTTTGAAAAGCGCAGACACGGTAACAGCACACAGCAGAGAGGCATGATCATGAACACCATGACGGGAGCGCAGCGTTACGGACACTATATGTAAGTACACCATTTACCACAATGTAGATGTTTCAGGTTCGAAAGTTCAAGGGGGAGGTCAGGGTTTGTTTGAAGCGTGTAGGAAAAAGAAGAACAATATTGAATATGCATGAGGAGTGCAAAAGTACGGACTGCAAGAACATCTAATTCCTTATGATATTTTATATTTACATATATACATATTTATAAGGTAAAGTTATATAACCTGTGCAATATCGTACGTGTTGTGAGTGAGTCTCTCAGTTGACTTTTTTCCTTCAGATAGATTTGTATAGACACAACGTCTGATGCATAAGCGCCTGGGGATTGTCATGTTTTACGAAAACGTGTGCTTTCGAATAAAGAGTAAACAGCTTTTAGCTATACAATGTGTTTAGAAATGTTGGAGAATGAGGCTAACAGGGCAGTTTGTTTGTTTGAGTAGCCGTTCTTTGTGGAAGTAGGACACATCCCGCCTCCAGCTCGGCTTCATGACATTTGAATACAAACGTAACTAGTGTGTGTATTTTGTCGACTTGACTGTAGTGTGTTAGGCTCATGGTGTGTGCTTATAAACAAATGTAAAATCTAAATTTGACAGCACAGTTTTCAAATTTAAGTGTAAAAAAACAAGGGTGAATAACATGATGCTCAATTTTTTTCTATTGATTTATTTATAAATATATTTTAAAAAATGCACACATAGTGACTTGATTACACCTTTTCTGTGATTAGCATGCTTTTAATTTCTGAATTAAAATTCATTTTGGTGTTTTGTGGCAGGAATCAAAGTCATGTGTTGGATCAACATTTATTTCAAATCAGATCATTTGGTGAAATGTCATGCAGTTCGACTCCTCAAAAACAGATAATTATTAATGAATTACTCTGAAAAATATATTTCAAAGCTTTTTAGAAAATAATGATTAAGATAAGGTTCACCTAAAAATGAAAATTTTCAAAAAAATTTACTCACACTCGGGTCACCCGAGATGTAGATGAGTTTGTTTTTTCATCAGATTTGGAGAAACTCAGCATTGCATCACTTGCTCACCAGTGGATCCTCTGCAGTGAATGGGTGCCGTCAGAATGAGAGTCCAAACAGCTGATAAAAACATCACAATAATCCACAAGTAATCCACACCACTCCAGTCCATCAGTTAACAACTTGTAAAGAGAAAAGTTGCATTTATAACAAAAAAACAAATCTGTCATTAAGATGTTTTTAACTTGAAACCATTGCCTTGAGTCCTCTTTCCATAATATTGCTTTATCCAGTGAATCAGGAGAGAAATATGCACAGATCAAGCATTGTTTACAAGCAAAAACAGTCCAAAACAGATCTAAACAAATATGTTGATGGATTTTGATGTGAGAGGACAACAGGGGATGGTTTTTTCACTGGAGGAGGCCTTATTATGGATTATAGACCCATATTTTGGAAAGAAGTAACAGTTTAGAGTTAAATCATCTTCTTAATAATGGATTTGTTTCATACAAACATGCATCTTTTCACTTCACAAGACATTAACTGATGAACTCGAGTGGTGTGGATTACTTGTGGATTATTGTGATATTTTTATCAGCTGTTTGGACTCTCATTCTGACGGCACCCATTCACTGCAGAGGATCCATTGGTGAGCAAGTGAAGTAATGCTACATTTCTTCAAATCAGATCTAAGTCTTCTTTTTTTTACACTATCATGTATTTTGCTATTGGAACCATAAATATATAATGTACATATATATATGCATTCCATTCACGTCTATGGAAGTTTATCCAACTATGACGAATTCTGCCTCAGAAACCTCAGGTTCCATTGTTCAAAATGGTCAAAGTTTTTCAAAACCACCATGAATATGAAGAGTACATTGGCATGTTTTAAACTAGCTTTTTAGAGATTTCTCCTTTTCTTTATCGCACACACTCTTATTTGTCATTGACCCACAAATCTTCTCTCTGTCTCATGCACACACACGCAAACTCTTGCTGAATAGAAACCCAACTGATTGATCACCAGCTCAGGTCCGGTGTTCTACGAGAGAATATGGTATTTATCTGTTGGACTCTCACTTTGTCTGTATCCGTCTAATAGTTTTCAGTTTCTTGCTGACTCCGAGCAAATGTGCTATTCTAAATCATAGACCAAAGCCGGTCTCCACTGGACCGAGCAACCATAAGGACCGGGTCTGGCTGGAAACATGCATCTTTTCACTTCACAAGACATTAACTGATGAACTCGAGTGGTGTGGATTACTTGTGGATTATTGTGATATTTTTATCAGCTGTTTGGACTCTCATTCTGACGGCACCCATTCACTGCAGAGGATCCATTGGTGAGCAAGTGAAGTAATGCTACATTTCTCCAAATCAGATCTAAGTCTTCTTTTTTTTACACTATCATGTATTTTG